TCCCTGTCTTTGCCTCCCAAGTATTGACTTGTCTAGGCTCCTGCAGCCCCCTGCTCTGCCCCAGATCCTTCTGCACCCCCCAGTGGGGAAGGACCCAGGTGTCTGGGCCCCACGTACCCCCCACTGTGACCCCCAGATCCACCCCCAGCTGGGGTGGGAACCCAGGGGTCCAGGCTCCCAGCATGCCCCCAATACCTGGGGCAGCATCTGGGCTCCTGCAGCCCCCACTCCGACCCCCCAGATCTGTCTCCACCTCCCAGTAGGGAAGGACCGAGACATTCAGGCCCTCCTTCCCCTCTGACCCCCAGATTTCCACCCCCCCAATGGGGGGTGCACCCAGGGTCCTATGCTCCTGCCCCCCCGCGCGCAAGGAGGGACCCAGGTCAGAGTCGCTCCTTGAGCAGTTCTTTCTTTTTCTTCAGGACCGTGAAGAAGATCAAAGGGAATTTGCTGTGGTATCCTGCCTCCTGGCCCCCTCCCCCCTCTCTGCCCTGCCCCTTCCCATACGCTGCCCCAGGTCCATCCCCTGGCCTGGGCCCACCTGTCCCAGGCTCTGTCTCCCGGGCCTGACTGCCCCCCCCCCTTGGGTTTGTCTGTCCGTTCAGCTCCTTAACACAGGACATGGCCAGGTACCAGCACCTGGAGGAAGCCAAGGTGAGTGCTGAGGGGACGTGGGGGCATGAGGCTGCTGGGTCCTTCCTGAAGCCCCTGGGGAGGGGTTGGCCTGGTCCCTCTCCCACCATTAACCAACCCCTCCCTCCCTCAGGGCCAGCCTGGGGCGCCAACCAGGCAGGGGGAGCAGTGCCAGCGCCTGACCCAGGACATCGCCCGCCTCCGGGCCGAGCAGCAGCAGCTGGATCTGCAGGTGGAGAGCGCCCAGCGCCAGCTCCAGGCGGAAGGTGAGGGGGCCCGGGGGCCCCGGCGCCTGGGTTCTGCCCCGCTCTGGGAGGGCAGCGGAGGCCGGGGTTTAGCGTCTGGGTGCTGGGTTCTGTCTAGCTCTGAGAAGAGACCTGAGGCTGGCGGGGTGGGGGGAGTCTGGACGCCTGGGCTCTCTTGCTGCGCTTGGGAGGGCGGGGCGGGTGTGCTGACACTGCTCCCTCCTCGCAGAGGAGGCCCTGGCGATAGTGCAGGAGCAGGTGTGGGACGCGCGGCGCCGGGCGCTGCTGCTCCAGGCCTACATGGCGCGGGTGGCCCGGCAGCGCCAGCACCTGCAGGATGGGGCCGCCCAGCTTGGCGCCTGGCTCACGCGGCTGCAGGACATTGGCAGGTTGGGCAGCCTCGACCCCTCACGTCGGCTGGCGGGGGGGGGCAGGGGGGCTGTACACTGTATCCCAGAATCCTTTGCTCCCCAGGAAGTTGTAGGCACGAGGCCTGCTTCTCTTGGGAGCAGTTTCCCAGCATCTTTTGCTCCTCAAATCTATACGTTTCTAGGTACCCCCTAGGAGCCCAGTTCCCAGAATGCTTTGCTTCCTAGGGGGTTGTGGACCAATGGCCTGCTTGTTTTGGATATAGTTTCCCAGCATCCTTTGCTCCTCATGGGTGCAGGCCTGAGGGTGGTTTCCCAGAATCCTGTGTGGCTCCGCCCTGCAGCCAGGTGCTGGACTCTGTTCCGGTGTGGGATCCCTGGGGGGCCTGGTCCCTGAGTGGACGGGTTGGGGCATGGGGGAAGAGCAGGGGTCTCTGTCTTCCCTGCCCCCTCCTCACGGCCTGTTCGGCCCTGCAGGAAGGCACAGGAGGAGCTGGTGCTGCCCGGACCCCGCTTGGACCCCGCGATCCCCGTTCCAGAGCCTGAGCCGCTGGTGGGTTGTGGGGATCCTGGTCGGGGGGGCGCAGTCTGGTCCCCTGGACTGCACTGGCTGAGGGGTGGATCCCATGGGCAGAGTCCTCCTGGACTGGGACTTAGTTGTGTCACTTTGGGATTCCCAGTGAAGGTCCGGTGGTGGGATCTGGTGATTGTGGGGGTGTTGGGCTCTGGGTGCTGTGTGGGGGATCCCATGCAAAGGCATGTGGGATCTGGTATTTGGGGAGCATGGGACTCAGTGGCCGTAGAGCAGTCAGGAGTGGGATCTGGAGATCCTTGGAGAGGATTGGGGGAGATGGGTGGGCAGGGAATTTGGTGGTTGGAGCAGGGCCAAGGCAGGGGGCATGGGCTCCGGCAGCAGCCAAGGACCTGCCTGCTGGGAGGCAGTTTAATGGAGGTACATTGCCGGGATCTGCTGGTGGTCACATCCCAGCAGGGGAGGAACCTAGTGGTCCCCTGGGGAATCTGGTGGGCTGAGGGAGAAGAGCCAGGGGCAGAAATACCCTCCTCCCACCTGGGAGGTGTGAGGGATCCTGGGGCTTTGCTGACCTCCTCCCCATTTGTGTCTCTGCAGCGGGCTGTGCGGGCAGCCTGTCAGCTCCGGGCTGACTTCATGAAGACCCTCCTGGAGCATGACACAGCAGGGATCCTCCAGTAAGCCCCCAACCATCCCATCCCTTGCCCCCTGCTCTGCCTCCCCTGTGACCCTTCTTTCTCTTTCTCTCTGCAGTAGCAGGATGAACACGGAGCTGCTGGATGCCTCCTACCAGCACTGGCTGAGCGCAGTGGAGGTACTGGGACCATGGGGCTTGCGACAGGGGACCCCCTAGCCCCACATCTGGGGGGTGCAGATGGGAACGGCCCCTTGTGGAGGCCTGCCCAAGCCCCCCTGCAACCCCCACCCCATCTGTCTTCCCCCTAGGACACGGTGAGCTCCCACCCCCCTGGTCACCTACTGTCAGCGCTGCAGCACCTGGCGCTGGAGGACATGCGGCAGCTGCAGGAATTGACCCACCATGTTGATGTTCCCCGTGACATCCAGGCCCTCAAGTGGGTGTGCCGGGGGGTGGGAACCAGGGAGGCCCTTGGGGTCATGGGGCGGGCCACAGGCACGCCCTGCTCTTGGGGTCTGGATGGTCCTAGTGGTCAGCCCATGCTGCAGATAGGTTGGGTGTGGGCCAGGGCTGGGGCCTGTCTCCCCTGATGGAGGTGGCTGCATTGCAGGGGTATTGCTACAGCCCCTGGTGGAAGCAGGCAGTGCTGCCACCTGGTTCCCTCCCAGCTGTGCAGGCCCCTGCAGGGTGTGGGGGAAGGGGAACGGATTGTGCCCTATCTGTGCCCCCTGGCCTTGCAGCTTCAGCCCACTCCTCCCTGCAGGTTCCAGCTCCACGGGGCTCATTTGGAAGATCTCTCTGCATCTGCTGGGGCCCTGCCCTCTGTCCGGGGCTTGCTCCAGGTAAGCCAGGGGGTGGGGGGTGAGCAGCTGAGGGTAGGTGCAGTGCGGAGTGGGGGGTATGTAGGTGGTGCAGGGCTGTATGATAGGGCTGGGGTGCCCAAATGGGGGGGAGGGTAATATGGATTTGTGGGGATCTCATGGATGTGGGTTGCAAGGGCATGCACCAAGTGGCTGAGGAACAGCAGGGGCAGGGCTGGGAAATGCTGGAGGGGGCCGTGTTGGGACTGGGGGTGGATTTCTGGGTGCTGGTGCTGGGCACCGGGGTCCTTGGATTAGGAGATGTAGCTGGTGGGACTGTCTGTGGGGCGTGGTCCCTGGTGCTATGTCCTCCAAAGCCTGGGGGTCGGTCAGGGGGCCAGACCTGTTTGTGGGATGGTTATAATGTAGGGAGATTATAGTATGCTTTGTTCCCCAGGAAGGCTGGGGCCAGTGCGAGGCGCTGTGGGCCCAGCAGCTGTCCCTGCACGCACAGTGCCGGCACCTGAAGGAGGAGTTGGCAGTCCGGCTGGCAGAGGCCCATCGACTGCTGGCTGATGGCTCGGAGCGTGCCATTCTTGCCAGGTACCTGCCCTCTTGTGTCCTGCCTTTCCTCCCTGCCTTGCTGGTGCCCCTCACTCCCAACTTGCAGCCCCATGCCCTGTTACTGCCCCTTATACCCCGGGTGGTCTTTGTGTTGCCTAGGGCAGGCCCCAGCTGCTGGGTAAGAGCACCCCCTGGTAGAGGGAGGCCTCTATTGCCTGTCAGGCACTTCCCCAGCCCTGGAGCACCTGCTTCTCTTCCCCCATGTATTGTTCTCCTGCCCCTCACCCCCTAGGGCAGCACTGGAGCTGGAGCTGCGGGTGGTGCGCCTGGCTGGGCAGCGGGATGGGCTGCTGCGGAGCTGCCGTGCACTGGAACAGGAGGCAGGTGCCCGCCGGGCTGAGCTGCAGGCCCTGCAGGGCAAGCGGCAGCAGATCCTGGACTTCCGCCTTCTGGTGGTGAGTTGGGGGCAGGGGCAGAGGGCTGCGAGTTGGGAGTGAGGGGCACTGACAGGATGGAGAGGGGGCAGGGGGGTGCAGGTTAGGAGTGAGGCATAGCGGCAGGAGGGCTGGAGATAGACTTGGGGCTGTGGGCTGGGAGTGAGGGTCACCAGCAGGGTGGAGAGGCTGTAGGGGGCTGCAGGCTGAGCCTGATCCTGTTCCTTCAGGATGAGAAGCAGCAGAATATCCAGGCACTGATCAAGGGCACCTCATTCATCAAGTCCCAGCTCCGTAAGCACCAGGCTGAGGTGAGAGATCAGAGACCCCCCCCAAGACTAAGAGTGGGAGGGAGGGGGCTGTGGGTTGGGTGTGAGGAGCCACGATAACCCTGTCTCCCCCCAGGTGCGGGCCTGGTCCCAGGGACGCCTGGCAGGGGCTGAGGAGGCCCTGGCCCTGGAGTGCCAGCACCTGCAGGGGGGTGTTGAGCGAGAGCTCGGCCAGTTTGGGGCCATCGCCCTGCCTGTCCTTCTGTGCCGCCACTTGGGGTGAGTACCGGATGCCTGGGGTCTCTGGGGCAGGGCTAGGGGGCTGGGAGCCTGGATGATTGGCACATCCCTGCTCTGGCTCACAGGTGGGTGAGGGGCAGGGCCTCAAGTCAGAGGTACAACCCCGATCCCTCCCTCCCAGGTCAGCACCAGCCTCATGCCATCAGCTGTCCCTCCACTGGCTGGTGGGGGCAGGGGTTGGGGTGCCCCGCCCCTTCCTGGGCATGTGCCAGAGCTTGGGGTTCCCCCCCTACAAGGTGAGTATCTCTGCCCCACTCCCTGGGCTCCTCCAAGCGGGGGTTGAAATCCCCAGCAGGCTAGGCTCTACCCCCCGCACTTGGAGGCAGAGCCAGTGCCTTTGCACCCATCTCCCCGCAGGCCCCCGAGCAGCTCCTGGCGCACGCGGTGGAGCTGAGGCAGGATGTGTGGCACCTCCGGGTCCAGCTGGGTGCCAAGGCACGGGCACTGGCTGGGCTTCAGGCCTCGCATGGGGATGAGGACGTGCAAGGTGAGCGCGCACAAGAAAAAGGAGGAACGGAGCCATGGCAGGAGGGGCTGGAGTATCCCCGTGCTGCGGTCTTACGCCACCATGGGGCCAGCACTCATGAGGTCACAGGAGCCCTTGCCACAAGAGTGCAGCACCCCAGGTCTCAGCACGGTGGGACTCATCCTGCACTTGTGTCCCCAGCCCTGGTGCGAGCCGTACGAGAGCACGACCAGGAGCAGGAGAATGCCCTGGCTCCGCAGGTACGCCGTGTCACGGAGCAGTGCCAGCGCCGCCTCGAGCACTGGCCCCAGCTGCAGGCTGCTGTGGATGCGTGGTGAGGAGACCTTGCATGCTGGGCAGGGGTGGGGCGGGACATCTGGGTGTAGGGCTGCTCTGAGGGGACGGGGCCAAGGAAGCTGGCCCTGCGCACCCCCTGCAGAGTGGCCGTGCCCCTGGTATGGCAGGGGGTGGGTCTGCATGATTCCTAAGGCCCCTGCTACCGGTGCAAATCATAGCTGGATGGAAACCAGTTTTGACCAGTCTGAATTCATGGTGCGATTCACCAGTGAACTGGGTTATATGTGTCACGTGTAGCAGGAGCCTGAAGTGGGGGGACATGGTAGAGCCTTGGGGCCGTGTCTGGCAAGGACGGGGCGCTGGATCTTGTCCACCGCCCCCCGTCTGGGTGTGGGTGGGGGTACGAGGTGTCGAATTGGGGAGGGCAGAGGGGGTGGGGCTTGTGCTGGGAGTGGGGCAGGAGCCCACTGACCCCTCCATTTCCGCCCCCGCCCCCCAGGTGGGAGCAGCCGGGGCAGTTTGTGCTGCCGGAGTGCCGACGCCTGGGCCTCACCCTGCCCCAGTGGCTGGAGCGCTGGACCCTGGCTGCCTCTGCTCTCCAGCGCCACCACCAGCAGTGTGCCTGGGACTGAGGTCCTGCCCCAGGACGGAGCCGTGCTGGCCGCACTGCAGAGAAGCTGCCTGGGGACCCGACAAGAGGGCCAGCTACTAGCACCAGTGCCCACACCTATGGGGGTGTGGCCATGCCCACCTGGGCAGGGCTACATGATCCCACCCGTGAGGGGGTAGCCAAGTAGCCGCTGCACCCTCAGAGGCAGGGCTCTGCCAGTCACAGCCAAGGCGTGTGGTGGGCGGGAAACCATGCTCCTGGGTGTCCAAGGTGGGACGTTTGTGGGGACGGAGATGTGGGGGTGTTCTGTACTAGTTACTTCTCAATAAACATTTGCATTACACCCACAGCAGCGATGGCCACTCAGGGATGCTGGGCAGGCCTGGCAGGGCTCTACCCACCTGGGGGTGTAGCCTTAGGGCCCTTCAGCCCTTTTCCCCTCATGCAGCTCCTGCAGGGTGTGGGGTTTTTCGGCAGGGGGTCCCTGTGGCAGTTGTGTGGCTTTGTGGGCCTGTCTCTGTTGATGCACGTGTGTGTCCCGCGTGGTGCCACGTTGCCCCGCAGGGGATGGGTTCCTCTTCCATCGCACGCACGGACCCCAAGCGTCAGGTTCAGGTGTGCGGTGCCTCTCTCCCTGATCTGCCCTAAGGACTGTGTTTAACCTGAGTCCTGGATAGCTGTGGATTTAAGATGCCCAGAGGTGTTCAGTGGGCCGTCATTTTTCCTGTGCAACATCTGGTTTGTGGGAGGCCACCTCTGTTCATGTGTTGTCATCCCCCCGGCACTGGGTCGGTGAAAGCCTCTGCTCCGTGCCCCTGCGCCTGCCCCCATACTCTGCCCATCCACCCTTACCTCCTGCTGCAGCTCTGCCTCTTGGGGCTGGCAGCAGCAGCGTGGGCCCAGCCTAGCCTAGCCCAGCCCAGCCCAGGAGCTGGCAGCAGCAGCGTGACCCCAGCCCAGGAGGCAGGGCAGCAGCTCCCAGCTGGGCTGGAGGAACCAGAGCCAGAGGGGGAAGGGAAGCAGGGGATGATGGGAACAGGCACAGGGGCAAATGCTGGAGGGTAGGTTTCCCCTCAGGGGTTTTCCCCTTACCCTGCTAAATAAGCCATTGCATCCAGGTGATGGCTCAGCTCCAGCCCTAAACTCAGGGCCAAAGCTGGATTTTAGCCTTCACCTACAGTGGGCCAGAGCCCGAAGTGCTCCAAGCCCCCGCTCCTGCAGGAGCCAAGGGGAAGGCTTGAGGTGGGGGTGAATGCTCTTTGCCAGGGGAAGTAGGCTGGAGGGGTGTCCCAGAGTGCCTGGGATGCTTGGGTTATCCTCTGCCCCTGCTGCCCCTTCTTTGGGAGGGAAAGGCTGGATGCCAAAGCCTGACCCTTTGCTCCTGGATTGTCATTATTTCCTGTGCCTCAGTGGACTCCATCTCCCATGATGCACTGTTGCAGTGTCCCTGAGCATCATGGGAAATGCAGTCCTAGGGCTGGGGGTGGAACTACAGTGCCTAGGTAGGTGTGGGAGATGGGGTGAGATGCATACTGTCTTAGGCCCCTGTGCTGGCACTTGGGGTGCCTGGTGCAAAGGGAAGGTGCCCCTTGTGTTTTGGGGCTCCCTGGATCCACCTGGCCTTGGCAACCCCCAGTGGGCAGGGGCTGCCATGGAGCATGTGCGGTCATGGGGGGAGCAGGGGTCAGATTCCCTGCCCCAAGGGGGTGAACAGGTGGGTCTCAGCATCTGTCTCCCTGTGCCAAGGGCAGGGTAGGTCCTACTCTGTGCCCAGCCCTGCAGCCTCTGAGGCCGTGGCCCTGGGAGCTCCTGTATCCCTTGTGCTCACGTCAGGAGCCTTTCCCCCACCCCAGAGTCTGCCTCAGTGGTAACAGGACAAGCAGCCCCAGCTCTCCCTGCCCCACTCCCATGCACCCCAGGGGGCTGAGTGTCCCCAGGCCAGGGCTGCACGGCTCCCACCTCCAAGGGCTGATCTGTAACCTGGGCAAGTGAAGCACATCAAGAAAAACAGCTCATTGAAGAGAGAGAGAGAGACTGGCACAAGACAGGGCCATGCAAATGTAAATGCTAGGCCTGGGAGACCCATCCCTTGCAGAGGCCTACTGGGATGGGACCTGGGTATGGTGTCTTGGCCATCAAGGACAAGCAGCACTGAGCTGGCTTGACCACCATCAGATCTGATGGTGGCTGCTCAGCGCCAATGAACCTTTCTGAGCTGTGGCCACGCATGGTTCCTAGTTGCATTGTTTGCATTTGGGATCTGGATGGCGGGTGCAGGGTGTGCAGATGCCCATGGCCTGTGCATCCAACACAACAGCACCCTGAGACCACTCAAGGCAACATTCTGCGCACCGTGGAACAACGGGGTCCTGCCAAATTGCAAGAGCTAGGACCCCACAAGCTACAGATGCTTGTACCACCCACTCTGATGTCCTGAGCAGAAGGGCATGACTTGGGCCCTCGAAGCAGAGAGCCAGCTGCCCAAGGCATGCGATGTGCCTGGGAGATGGGAAGGCAACACTACTGCCGCCCTTGAGAACTCAATCAGGCAGTGCCTGAGCCCTGGGCATTTAGCCCTGTCCAAGGCAGTCCAGGCCAGGGCAGATGATTTTGCTGCCATGAGACCTGAATCTCCTTGATCGGGTCCGTCCAAAGCAGGAGAAGCTGAGGGCGCTTTCTGATCCGTGCACAGGCAGAAAGAGGGTCCTGGTACCCCTCCTAGCTCTCCTGGGGCAGAGGTAAACCTGCCCGGCTGAGGCACATGGGGTTTGAGCCACCTCTGGTACTGTCAATCACTGTGTTGCTCTCTGTGGCCCAGCATCTGGCATGACCTGATGGAGAACAGCTGCAAGTAGGGCCTTGAGGGGGGAAAAGGGAAGTGCTAGTCTGTCCAGCCAGTCTCTTTTATACCGATCCATTAACCCACTCACCCATGCACTTATCCATCCAACCCCACACCTACCCACCACTCTGCATCACTCCAAATGACAGGCTGTTTTTGACCTGCGTGCCCTTGAACTCTGACGCAGGGGACTGTCCACCCTACCCCTGAGCCTGCTTCCCCCTCAAATGCTGTTAGATGTGGGGGGAAGTTCCTGCCCTCTACCCAGCCCTCAGCCTGCCAGGCCTCTCAAGGAAGCCTGGAGCCTCCTAGGTGGGACAGGTATTATGTCCCAAACTCTCTGGGCTGCCAGCCCAGGCCTCCAGGCTGCCCTGTCTCTGGCTCCATGTGTGCACATCATACAAAGGCCTTGGGGGCATCAGGCTTTCCTGGAGCTGAGCCCAGGCAAACTCAAAACACACCGGAGACCCTCTACAGATGTGGAAAGAGAGAAAAATGGGGTCACTGCTGGAAGGGAAAAGCCCCCACCCCCAAGCCAGCTTGGGCCCTTGGATCAGGCCCAGGCCCCCATGGGGGATGGGACGGGGATGATCTAGAACATCCATCTTCCCCAGCAGCCCGTGCACTCTGCTGGTGGTGGCAGCAGCCGTGTGGCAAGCAGTAATTGCCCACAGAAGCCAGGGGTGGCCAATCTCAGGGGGAGCATGAGCCCCCCTGTGCCCCTGCCACCAGTCGCCTATGCCCCTTTCCCAGAAAACTCCCCTCACTCCCTGCCCCACGCCCCCCCAGCCCTGCTGGTGCCCTGCACTCCTGACCCACAGCCCCCTGTGCGTAAACCTCCGCCCAGAGGTGCGCCACAACTCCACCGCTGCAGTGCAGGTGAAGTTAGCTGTTCTCATGGACCTGCCTCCTGTCCCACCAGTCCCTCCCAGTCCCCTTGGCTTTATTCCACTGCACCTGACCTTGCCTCATGAGATGAGAAGGAACCCAGGAGTCCTCACTCCCAGTTCTCCCCTGAACATCCCTATTCCCCGCTCAGGCCCAGTGAAAACCACAGGGGTTCTGGCTCCCAGCTCCAACCCTTAACACTGGGCAAGTAGAGCCCTTAGTTTGGGAAGGGTCTGGGAGACTCAGGAGTAGAGGTACACAGGGGAAGGCTGAGCGTTACAGGGCACCCCTTATAAAGGGGTAGGCGGCTGACACCCCATGGACTGGGTGTAACGGGAGATGCCTGGAGCCCCCGTTAGCTGGTCTCATACCTAACACAGCAACGCTCTGGTTTTCCCCAACTGCCTGTTGAGCTGCAGCCGCTTCTGGGCTGTGGTGCATCGGGAGCAGGGGATACAGGGACCTCTGGCCCTGTACCAATGTTGTGGGGCACCCCAGCAGTGCTGGAAGAAGACTGAGGTGTAGAGGGGTCTTGACAGGGCTGATGGGCCACAGAAGAACGAGCCTGTCTGGTCCTCCATCCCTATCCATCGGACCCTACTTCCAGCCACCCACAGACACACCAAATCCATCTGTCCATCCATCCATCCACCCATCATCCCAGCCCCCCCCCCCAGACACATTTCATATCCATCCATCCACTCAGCTTCCCACCCACCCACCCATCCCTAATTCCTACCTGTGAGCACAGAGGGGAAGGTGGGTATCGTTACCTGCCTCTGGGACTTTAGAAATTCCCCAGAGGCTGCAGCACTGAGGTGGGGCCCTAGCAGCTGGTGAGGGAGGAGGCTGGGAGCAGGGCTGACATGCAGCTCACAGGGGGGCCCATGGTAGAGGGGAGCGATGGCAGATGTGAGATCTCCAGGCGGGCATCCTCCCTGTCCGGTGCCTGTCCCTGGGGCTGGCCCTGAGCCGTGGGCCAGGCACAGGGCTGGCACTGAGCTCCAGGGGCCTGTGGCACGGGCCCAGAGGAGAGGCGAGGGCTACAGGCAAGGGGGGAGCAGCTGCATGAGCCCCTCTTGGGGCTGGGGCTTCGTGACCTGGGGCTGGGTAAGGCTGGGGCAGCCAGGGCCACGGGAGGTGTCACAGCCACGTCTGTTCTCAGCTGGTCGTTCCCTGAGGAAGTTTCCCTAAGGGCTGTGGGTGTGTGTGCATCATGGAGGCCTGGGTTGTGTATGTGCACATGTGTGTTTGGGTGAGCGTGGGTGTTTCCTGAACACCTGGGTGTGTGTATGTGTGTGTTCCTGTGTGTGTGTGTGTGTGTGTATTTTTTTGTGTGCACCTGTGTATTTCTCCGGGGGGGGGCCCCATGCCCCGGGCCCATGTCCCTCCCGGCAACCGCGGCTCCGGCTCCAGGGCAAGGGGTGGCAGCCGGGCCGGGCCGGGCCGGAGCCGGGCTGCACAGGCGGGTCGCGGGAGAGC